ACCAATGGAAAAAAAGTGTGTGTGTGTGTGTGTGTGTGTGTGTGTGTGTGCACGTGCAAGTGTCTGAGGAGTTTAGAGGTATGGGATCCCCCCTACACCTGGAGTTACAAGAGGTTGTGAACTTCCTGATGTGGATACTGGCAACTGAACTCAGGTCCTCTGCAAGAGTAGCATGTGCTTTTAGCCTCTCAGCCATCTCTCCAGCCCCTAAGCGTGGTTGTTAAATGAACACATGGGTGAACACATGAGGGGCGCGGTGGGCAGGCAGAAGCGTCAATGAAGCAGTGAGGGGAACTCATGGCTGGTCCAGTCTTTACACTCCGGGTGTCACTGCTAGGCCTGCAGCTCAATTACTCCTGACCCTCGCAGGTGGCTGACCCCCTCCTCGGGTAGCGTATCTTGGCTCCGTTGAAACAGGGCTGGTTCGGAGAAAGAGCACCAGGAAGGCACAGAAAGCAAAGGGCTCTGGAGAGGGTCAGTGACATCAGGGGACAAATACAGCTGACCACTCGGTGCCACGCCACTTCAAGTGGTTCCCAGGTCATGTCCTTCTTAGAGGCGGCTTGGGCTTAAGGCCCTCCTAGTCTCTTTATGGCCCCAACATTCTCTTTTGTGGTGAACCAGAAATGTGCTCTTGAAAGGTGTGGACAAAGGAATGAATTTGAGGAGAAATTCAGTAAAGCCTCTCTCCCAGATCACAGCTGGATCCACATTCTTGGGTCTCCCTGCTCTTCCGGGAGTCCCTTGCTCCAGATCCGGTCCTTACTCTGTCTCTGCACCTTTAGGACTGAACCCTGGCTTCCAGCCTCTACCTGCACCTGCTCTGGGCCTGCCCCTCTGCCTCTGGTGTGAACCAGGGGTCAGCAGGGCAGAAGGGCCTGGCATTGTGGACGCAGTGGGCTCCAAAGCCTGGCACCCCTTGGCTTTCACAGCAGTACAGTGAGCATGGCTCAGATGGATGCTCCCTGTCTGCCTGCTGCCATGACGGTGCCTTTGTCTGGGCACTGGGAACTGTGATTTATGTCACAGGCTCTCTGGGAAACCTTTTGCCTCAGTAATTCTGAGCTCCACGGGTGTCTCTTTACATCTATTTAAAGTACGGCTGCTGCTCATGGGGGCTGCATGCTCTGCAGCATTCCAGGTGGCTTGGTAGTTGCCTGCCTCAGTGCCTGTGTCTTGCCTGTGGAGCATCTTTGGGACCAGTTTGGGTACGCTTGCTGTGCACCCCATGGGGCTGCTGAAGCCAGTTAGGTGAGTAGATGCCTTCCCAGGTGAAACGGACAGGAGCCTGGGTGGGAGGGAGTATGTTGCCTCTCCATCCCCACGGTTTTGTCTGCTTACCCCTTGGCCATGCCAGCCCATCACAGGCACATCTAGCATGGATTTGGTGTGGGTAAGTGCACCTCATCTGCAGGCTGTTCAGGAAAGTGGGGTCATTTCTAGAAGTGCAAGAGTGTCTGGGCAAGGAGGTCAGCACCTCATGCTCAGAGGTGGGATGCAGACCTGTGTCCAGGAGTCAGTCACCGGAGTCTCTTGCATTCACACAGCAAACCTTGACTGGGGTTTGCATGTACCTGCACTTTCCAAATGCAGGTCAGGCAAGCCTTTTTATTGTAAAGATGTCTCAAGAGCTATTCAGTTCCTTACATGCTGGTATGAAATTGGCCAGAGAATCCTTGCCACTGCCAGGGTCAAGTGCTTCCCATGACTCTGCTGTAGCATACCACCCGATACATGCAAGTTCAGGCCCCAATCCTGAGGTATGAAGAGATGAACGTATGACCACACCACATATGGCTGGCATGGCACGTGGGCATGTTGCAGAACAGAGGCCCTGAAGACTTGAAGGGGAGCACGGTGCCATGTGCTGCGTCTGTAGGTCAAGACAGGGCACTGGCTGCCCCTAGAAGACCTCCCCAGGGATCAGGCTGGGAGGCTGCAGCTCAAACTCCAGCCCCTGAATGGGGGGTGGGTCCCTCAAATTGAAATGACTTGTCATGGCATGTATGTGGAGGTCAGAGGACAACTTGCAAGGGTCAGTTCTTTCTTACAATGTGAGTCCTGGGGACTAAACTCAAGTCACCAGGCTTGGTATCAAGTACCTTTCTCCACTGTTCCATCTCACCCCCTACCCCTTAAAGGAAAGCACCATCAGTTACTTTCTGTTTGCAGCCTACTATGTGAGATCCACTTTGGTTTTTATTTTGTGTGGTTCCATATGATGATGACTGAGCATCTGGGCTTAATGTAGACAGGATGTGAACTGAAGGGCAGCACCCAACTGAAGGGCAGTCCATGTCCCAGGTAGCTGACCAGGTCCTGCTGGGAATGGGGAGTGTTTAGAGTGTAAGCTATGGATGTAGAGACCCAGAATCCAAGAACGCTAGCACTTCCTTTTTAGAGCCTGCCATACTGAAATCTGTGTATTGGCAGAGCACCACGGGGGAATGATGTGGGTGACCCTGTCCACAAAGAGTGCACATGCTTGTCTGATGAGACACGAGGTGAATGAAGCATGGGGTAGAGTTTCCACCCTTCTCCTGACTCCTGATGCATCCTTCACTCTGAATGTGCCCATACGCAAAGTCATTTGAGAGAAATGTGTGAATCTCACTATCTCAGGACACTGAAAACTGTTTCTTTGGATCATCTTTGGGTAACAGCTTCCCAGATGCTGGTTCAAAACATACCAGGCACACATACATGTTTACAGGTGCATAGGTAGGTGTATATGATTGAGATGTCTTGGGAGATGGGGGTGAATTTTAAAATTAAATGAGCCAAAACTTTATGACCAATTTGGCTTCCTTCAATGAAGTCTTTTGGGGAAGGCGGTCTCTTCTAGCTAATACTTTGGGAATGGTATTATTTTGTGTGTGTCCATGTGTTTGTGTATATGCACATGTGTGAATACCATGTGCATGTAGAAGTCAGAGGACCTGTTTGGGTGACTGTCCTTACCTTTCATCTTGTTTGAGGCAGGCCACTTTTGTTTGCCACTTTGGTGCATACAGCAGGCTAGCTGGTCCTCAAGATTTATTTATTTATTTATTTACTTACTTGTGCAAATATTGTTTATTATTTATTTATTTACTTGGGTGTATGAGCATGTCCATGTGGAGCTGGGGGGGGGGTCAGCCTTGGGTATCATTTCTCAGGAGCTACCCATCTTGTTTGTTTGAGATAGGGTCTTTTTCAGGAACCAGGGTGTGGATGCAGTGGCTAATCTTGGTTATCAACTTGACTACACCTGGAGTCAACTAAAACCCAAGCTTCTGGGCCATCCTGTGAGGGATTTTCCATCTTTTTTTAAAAAAAATTATTTATTTTTATTTTATGTGCATTGGTGTTTTGGAGTCACAGACAGTTGTGAGCTGCCATGTGGGTACTGGGAATTGAACCCACATCCTCTAGGAGAACAGCCAGTGCTCTTAACCACTGAGCTATCTCTCCAGCCCCGTGAGTAATTTTCTGAATCAGATTATTTGAAGCAGGAAGATTCACCCTAAATCTGGACCACACCAGAACACATAAAAGGACATTGAAGAAGAAAATTGGTTTTGTATGCTTGCCCTCACTCCTGCTGACAAGTTCATCTGCCCTGTTACTGAGGCTGGTATTAAATCCAACTTCTTCAGGATTCCATCTAGACTCAAAGACTCACAGCCTCCCTCCAGGAGTCCTCCAGGACTCCAGCACCAGATTGGAACTGCTGAGACACAGCATCTTGTGAACTGAACAGCTACTAAGTTCTCACTCAGTCTTTCTGTCTGGAGACAGCCATTGTTGGACCACAGGCTCTCAACCACTCCAATAAATACTACACACACACACACACACACACACACACACACACACACACACACACACACACACATTCCTTTATCAGTTTTGTTCCTTTAGAGCAGTGGTTCTCATCATGTGGGTTGTGACCCCTGGAGGGGTCAAATGACCCTTTCACAGGGGTCGCATGTCAGATATCCTGCATGCCACATTTTGTTTACATTACGATTCATAACAGTAGCAAGACTACAGTTATGAAATAGCAACGAAATAATTTTATGGTTGGGGGGTCACCACAACATGACGAACTGTATTAAGGGTCGCAGCATTGGGAAGGCTGAGGACCGGGTCTGGGCGATTAGGCTACGCTGGCTGGTTGGTCTGTCACTACTTCTCCAGCGTTGGATTGGAGGCATGAGCCACCAAAGCTGGGCTCTACGTGGCTGCTAGGGACCCAAGTTTGGTTCCTCTTGCTTTGCTGCAAGCGGTCTCCTCAGGTCCTGAATGTCCTTTTAACTTTTTCTTTTGTCATGGTTTCTTTATGGCATTTTCAGACATACACATCACTGCACTTCGTTCGCACGTGCCTGGGGGTTTTATTGTGGTAGCATTGTTTGTCATTTATGTGATTAACGACCTGACAGATGGAAAAAGTGACAAGGTGAGCTGAACAAACTTTGCAAAGGCGCAGCCTGGGCAAGGGATGGAGGTCTCAACGCAGGGGTGACCCGAACAGGGCACATTAGGTGAATTTCACGGCAGGGGGGAGGAATTAGCGAAGGTGTAAAGTGCTCACATTAACAAGGCGCTGGGCAGGTGGGGTGACTTTGATGCAGAGCAGACGCCTGCTGTGACAAGAGACTGATATTCATCTTTCTAGAAATTACACCAAAAGACAAGCTGCTGGAATACCCGGGAGCTGGCGTTGGGATGGTATCACGGAAGTAAGTGCTAGGCGTCCCCAGGAGACTACTTCGAAAGGAGACATTCTGGGATATTTAGCAACAGTGCAGCCTCTTCATTTTTCTTTTTGCTAACTACGAGGAGACCTCTTAAGTTTTCGCTTCTCAAAGTAGGGTCCCAAGACTCGCAGCCTCCACTTCCCCTGGGAGTTTTGAGAGAAATGCAGACCCTCCCACGATCCTTGGGGCACACAGCATGAAAGCCTTGGCATGTTCCAGTGTCTGCATGGCCAACCTCCCCTGGGGTCCCTTTACCTTGGGGAAGGCGTCGGGCCACACCAAGGGGGATCCGTGGTTGAGTAGAGCCTGCACCGTGCGCTGCAGCGCTGCCGGGGGCGCGCACGTGGCCGTGTGCAGTGCGCGAGCCAGCGGCGACGCTCCACCGTAGTCGAGCGCGCCCGCGTCGGCGCCGTGCAGCAGCAGGAGCGTGCACAGGCTGGGGCGCGCGCGGCCGCAGGCCTTGTGCAGCGGGCTGCGCTCGTCCTCGTCGCGCGCGTCTGCCGCCGCGCCGCCGCGCAGCAGGAGCGCGCACAGCCGCAGGCAGCGCGCGTGCTCGTCAGGGCTCCGCGTCGCCGCTCCGCACGCCGCGCTCAAGGCTGTCTCGCCGCGACCGTTCCTCGCGTCCACGCGCGCGCCGCGGCCCAGGTAGAGTTGCGCGTGCTCGTCCAGGCCGTACCGGGCCGCCACGTGCAGCGGTGTGTCCCGGCCAGGGCCGCACTCCAGCTGTACTGTCGCGCCGTGCTCCAGCAGCGCCTGCGCGCACCTGCGGGCAAGCCAAACAGGTCACCAGCGCGCGTGACCAGCCGCGACCCGCCACCCACGGAGCGCGCCGGGCACCACCGGCGAGCTCCAGCTAAAGCCAGAACTTTCGAGCTCCAGGGCCAAGGCCACCCACTGCAAAGTGAATAGACCTGAGACAAAATAAGATTACGGCAAACCCAGGGTCCCAGCCCCACGGGTCATCAAATGAATAGGGACTTTCATTCTATAAGCACTCAGACTTAGGATGAGAATGGCAATCGCTTCTTGCTGTTTGGGAAGATAATGTCCACATGGCAGTATTCAGGGCGCTGGGCACTCGGACTTTATCTGGACTCGGTCAACCCTGGAGGTTAAGGTCTAGAGAGAATCCTTTAGATCAGGATGCCCCACCTTTCCTGTGCAAGGCAAGTCTTGCCTTACCCCAGTCTGGGGGAGAGGGGTGGGACTTCACCCTCTTTTCAAGGCCTCTGATTCAGACAGGCACCAGAGTTTGCTGCGTTGGAAGCATCAGGCAGAAGCACACCCATGCCTATATATGGCGCTGTTTGTTCTGATCCCTTCTTTCTTGACCAAACTGCGCACTTTGGCTGTGACGCCAAGTTTTCAGTCTCTGAGGGTTTCTGAGTCCCATGGGAGATTGCTTCTTCCCCTGAGGAGAACGGGTTCTCCTGCCTCTAGGCTCACCAACTGGATTCAAGACTGCCTTTGACCCCACACACCTATCTTCTTACAGAAGAGTAGCTCTCTCAGCCGCTCTTCTGTCCCCTGGGAGCACCCCACACCTCACCTTTCACTGATGGCTGTTTGGACCATGTTAGATCTGGCAGCCTAGCCCCCGGGTGGGAAATGTAGTCTGCTAATCTGAGAGGAGGTAAGTAGCCACAGGCTCTCCTCCGGTCCCCCTGCTTGTCTCCTGGGTCTCTGAATCCCTGGACAGTGTCATCTTGATATAGTCCTGCACACTGACCGAAGACAGAACTCACCCACATCAGTTGGCAGTCTTCTTCATCTCTGCCCTAGTGAGCACTGAAGACTTGGCTCCTTGACTTCCTCCTTCCTGTTTGGTTTCCCTTTCTCTGGCAGTGCTGTGGTAACTGCCCGCTCTCATTTCCCTCTGTTGAGCAGAGTATGGCCATCCCCATCTTTTAAATGTCAACCATTCCTCTCCACCTGGCTGCTGAACTCTGTTGTGGGCGGCAGGACCCTCCCTGGAGACTGGCTCTGGTCTCAGCTGACCCATCTAGGTCATCACACAGCTCCCTGTCTGCAGTCCTTCAGCCCTCCAATCCTTCTAGCCTGTCTCGTTCAGGGGCATGTCATTACCGATGTCCCTCCCACCCGGATAGTGCCTTCCTTAGATACTCCAGCGCACTGCTGCAGATCACAGCTCCCGGGGATCTGTTGGCCTCCACCCTTCTCCATTGACTCAGGAGTCTACCCCAGCTCTGCGGGGTGGGGGTGTTTTCAAGAACCCCCTCCCTCGCCGTCTCCAGCAGTGGCACCTATTCCCGTGCCTGCTGGGATCAGTTTCCACATTTGCTCCTTCTGTCTGTCCATCACGCCCGCCCCCCCCACCCCGCCCTCGTGTCTGCCCCTTCCTGTCCTCTTAGCATCCCCAGGAGAGGGCCTGTTTCTGCCCTCCAGATGTCCTTTGTCAGTTCTCTATCCTCCTCCACCCTTCCCCCACTGCGACTAGTTTCTCAACCTGGCTGGTGACACAGTCACGTGAATACCCTCTCCTCACCATTCCTATGCCACTGCCGTTTGAGAGCCCCCCCCCCTTTTCTGGAATGTCCAGGAGTCTCCTAATTGGTCCACCTTCAGCCTACTAAGCTTCATGCAACCCAAAAAGAATCTTTGTGGTGTGATAAGTCAATGGATCCACACCTGCTTAGGACCCTGCCCTTTCCCTGGGACACAGGTGCCACCTGGGCCAGCCCCCTTGAGCCTCACCAGCTTCCCTTGCCAAGGCTCCCCCTGCTGGGTTTCAGGTGTCTCTGTCCAAGGATAGGCCCTAGGATCATCCTGTGGTTATATGCTCTCATGCCTGTGTGTGCACTTGCTCCAGGGACTCACTGGTATGGCCTCCAGCTTCCTATGCCTTCCCTTCCTCTTCCTCTGGGAAGCCTTCCTCACAACCCCAGGCTGAAGGGTGGCATCTCTACATGGTCCTTTGTTTTGTGATCAAGCAGGACACTTGTCACGAAACCGTAGCACTGCATTTCCGACGAGTGCTGGCACCTTTGTCTCCCGTCTTAAAACTGTTGGCTCCTTGTGTGTAGAAAGTGTGCCTGACTGTTGGGTGTAGTGCTGTGCCTAGCTCATTATCTGAATTCCCTGAAAGCCTGTTGAACAAATGCCTCTCGCTAACGACCATCTCTCAGCTCCCTAGCGCATCGCTGCTGATTTTCCTATTATTTACTTAACTGGGGCTCTGATCCAGATCATCCATCGAGGGTTTGGGGGCTGACAGCCGCTGCCCTGAAATGCATTTCTATGTCTTCCTAGGGACTCTCAGCATTTTAAATTCTCCCTTTGTGTTTCTCTTGCCTCCTCCGCATCAGCAGTATCATGAGAAGTGGTCTGTCTTGGGTGAAAGATCTTTACAAACAACTGCAGTGTGATGTGAAGCATCCTTTGGGAAGAAGGTACCCAGCTAAGAAAGGATGCAAATTTTACAATCAGAGTGCTTCGCTTTGCTTCCTGCCTGGCTCTCTGGGAGGAATTTTGAACGGTGCAGCGGGAGGTTAGAAATCAAGGGCTCTGTCTCACTTTGTCACCGAGCCTTGAAAACATTACAAACATTTTCGCCTACTTTTTTTTTTTTTTTTTTTTTTTTTTTAAAGCAGCGCAGCCTCCAAAGAAATAGGAAGAGCCTGGCCTGATGAGCTAATGGCAGGTTGCTGTTTGCTACACAGGGACAGAATGGGGACACTGGCCCACACTCTCTAGGGTTGCAGATGCCAAGCTTTTCTGTTTTTAATGGAGAGCTTAATAGGCTAACCCTTGGTGCTTTATAATCCTGGGCAGTGGCTGGAGATGCAGAATTGCAGGCTGGAGAGAGAAGCCACAGGACAAATTGATAGGGGCACGTCTCTCTCAGCATAGGTCAGGCGGTCATTAAAAATGAAGGCGTGCTAGCCTAGGTAATGACACACACACAGATCTGCCCCATGGCTGCATGGAACCATCAGTCTACAGGACACACTGACAGTGCTGTCTTAAGCCACCAGTAAAGAATACGTTTGAGGAAAGCTTGGGATTGTATAGGGCAAAGAGGGGTTACCTCAGTAGGGGGTGCTGTGGTGATGAAGGGCTTTGATTTCCTCACTGTTTTATATTGTCAAAATTTCTAAGACTAGTTGGAGTAACAACTTGATATAAGAACGACTGATGCTGTTAATCATGGAACTACCCATCCCCTGCCCCATCAGCCCCAGCCACAGCTGGATTATAAGAATGTCACTCTTTCCAAGTTTCTAGAACACTCTGAAGGTTTCCACCGATGCCTCTGATAGAAGCAGGGGCTTGGAAATGCAAGACAGGGGGAGAGAAGAGGGCCAATTATGAAGGGTGGCAAAGAAGCGGGTGACAGTGTGGAGACTTTCTGCATCCCATCCCAGGACGAAACCATTTCTTAAACAATTATCATTCCATGCCACATCTGTGGTTGCAGTAATTTCACTGAAAAAATGTCCCCTACAGGTTTGTGTATTGAATATTTGGTTCCAGGTTGGTGGGGCTGTTTGGGGAGACTGGAAGTTTTAGGAGGTAGAGCCTTGTTGGAGGAAGAATGCCCTTGGAGGTGAGCTTTGAGAGCTCATAGACTAACCTCCTTACAGTTCACTCAACTGGCCTTCTCCATGTGGCTGAGATGTCGCCTCCTGCTCCTGTTCCTGCTACCATGCCATCCTTACCATTATGGAACTCCCCCCTCTCTGGATCCACAAGCCAAAGTGAATTCTTCCATTGCCTTGGTCATGGTGTTTTATCACAGAAACAGCAAATAACTAATGCAGTGGTCCAGAGCGAAAGCATCACTCAGGCCTTCAGAGGCCTGCAGGGAGCTCTGCTGGGGCCGAGCACCGAACTCTAATCTGGGACTTGGTAAGGTAGTTTTCTGCTAGCCTGATAGACAGGCAAAATCAGAAGGGCCTGGGGGGTGGTACACACCGTCACTGCCGGGAGCCAAGGGTAGTGCTGTCACCTCTGGCTCTCAGAACACTGACTCCATCTCATGAGGATTAAGACATGCTTGAACGTGTCTGATGCCAAGAAACTTGGGCAGACACTCACCCCTTCCCCCTTGACCTGTCTCAACCCTCAGCCCTGTCTTTGATGATGACCGCAGAGATAACGGCAGCTGCTCCAAGGTCTAGGTGACAGTAAAAGACGAAGCCACTTGACGAGAGGCAGGAGTGACTAGAGCTAAGGCCACCAAGAGCTGTCGCATCAGGGCCATTTTATCTCATCCCCCAAACAGAAGCATGAAGAGCCCACCCCCTGCACAGGGCTCCCCACTTAGCACTCCCCACAGACCATGGCTGTTACTGGTCACCCTCTGGCAGAAGGTCCAAGCACCTCAGCTTGGCCTTTCCCATGCCCCACCTCTTCTGCCCTCACCTGTGCCCTGCCTGCCTACTCAGCCTCCACAGTTCTTGTACATTCCATTCAGGCGGCTCCAGACAGTCCTCATCTCTGCCTCACGGTCACCTTGCTTCCACAAAGCCCTTCATGTGGCACTCCCTTGCCCTCTGGTCCTAACTTGGCATCCTCAGCACCTTATTTTTTCTTTTAATATTTTATTGATTATTATTATTGTGTGTGTATGTACACATGTGCCAGGGTATGCATGTGGAGGCCAGAGAACACTTCTGTAGAGTCAGTGATCTCCTTCTACCTTTACGTGAGTTCCCAGAATGGAACTCAGGTTATCATGCTTGCGTGACAGGTGCCTTTACCACCGAGCCATCTTGCTGGTCCATGCACTTTTTTTTTTCT